GGGCCACAACCTGGTACTGGGAGCCGCAGTCCTGCCCATCCTGTGCCGACGACGAGATGCTCAGGCAAGCTTCCCCGAACTGCCACTCCTGGACCAGCCGTAGGAAGCCTGGAAGAGAGAAGCCCAGAGCAGGTGACTCGGAGGGACCAGAAAAACAGGGAGCAGGGGAGGTGGGCGGGGAACCTGCGCGGGGCTCCCCTGGTGTAATCCTAACTCGCACGGGATGTGCATGGGCCCATCTCTGTAGAGCTCATCCTCCGGGGGAACCAGCAGGATGACAAGACAGCCGGTTAGAAGAGCCTTTGGGAACGGGAGCCCAGGGGGCCGGTGAGGGTCGGAAGCCACGGGTTGCTTGCTGCGGTTGCCGGAGACTGGTGAGCTCTGCGTGGCGTCACCTTCGGAGCTGAAAACCCTAGACCTGGCTGAGCCTCTGAGCTCCCGGGGCCCTTCATCAGCCGTGGAGTTACCCCAGCACCCCGAGATCACAGAGGCACGTCCCCACCAGAGGCACAAGGACGGGGTACAGAGAGTTGGTAGAGAATGTTCTAGCGCAGTTGTTCTCAGCAGGGCCACCTGAGGGCTTGTTCGAGCCCCGGCTGGAATCAGGTTTTCCGACAGGTTCCCAGGGGTGCCGTGGGTGCCGGTCCTGAGGCCACACTTGGAGAACCACCACTCCACTACGGTAGCACAGGGCGGCCCACCCCCCACCTCCCTCTATAACTAATAGGTAGATCAATAGGTAGTTGTTAGATACATAGATGTAAGGACAGATGATAGGTAAATTGATTGATAACATAGATGGTAGATAAGTGACAGGTATAGCAATAGAAGATAGATGACAAATTTTTCACAGAACCATCCCAGGTGGCATCTGACCCACAGGCAGGGTAGAGGGACAGGCAGGGGTTCGTGGCCTGTCTGTCCTTCTCTCGGGGCACCTAGGGCTCCCTGGGTTCAGCCCCTTCCGCAGACAAAGGCGTCAGCCCAGGCGTGGGCGACAGCTAGAAGCATGTGGCTCTCGGGTCTTCTCTCCAAACGTCCAGAGAGAGACAAGTGCGCGTCGGTCAGTACGCCCGGCGCGCCGCGGGAGATGGGCCAGTGAGCAGAGGGAAGTGTCCCTCCGCCTGGGCCAGTGCCCAGTCAGGCCCTCTGTTCCACCCCGGACAGGGTGGTGGGCTCCTCACGGTCCCCTCATCTCTATCCTCACCTCTTCCCTCTGTCTTGCTGCTGCCATGCCTGTACGCAGTGACCCCGGCCACCTGCGGGGTTCTCTGACCAGTACCCTGCTGGGGGGGGGGGGCGCCACGCCCTCCCCACTCCATTCAAATGCATCGCTCCTCAGGGGCCTTGACACCTTGCGATGCCGGCCACCCCGGCTGTTCAGGGAGGGCACTTCGCCCAAGCAAGGCCAGGCAAGCCTGGCACCAGGGCTCCCTGACTTGGCCCACAGGATGGCGCTCTAGGGACTGGGCTGTAATCCTCACACAGGTAGCTGGTGGCAGCACATTAGCCAGCACGAGGGGACAGCGTCCTGGCCAGGGGATGTCCCAGTGAGGAAGTCCCGCTCTACAGCTCCTGAGGCTGCTGCACCCCGTCCAGGCCCTGCGCTGGGCTGTCCTCCCCTGCACATCGTCAGTCCCCGTCCTTAAAGCACACGTGGCAAAGGCACAGCCCTTGTAAATTCTTGAGCGTGGGTGTCATTCTCTATGCTTTTCTGAATGTCCTTACTTTCTCAGATATTAAAAAAGGAAGTCCATGTCATGAGTTGAACAGCGTCCCACCAAGATTCACATCCTCCTGGAAACCCTCACAGTGCGCCCTTGCTCAGAAATGGGGTCGTTGCAGGTATGAGTAAAGGTGAGGTCTTTAGGGAGAGAGGGGCCCTTAGACACTGTGACTGGGGTCCTTACGAGAAGAGGAACAGCGGCCACCTGGGGACAGAGGCAGAGAATGGAGTGACGCATCTATAAGCCGAGGGACACCAAGGATCGCCGGCCACGCCAGGGGCAGGCAGAGGCAGGAAGGACCCTGCCCTGGAGCCTCAGAGGGACCTCAGACCCGCCGACACCCGGATTTCAGACTTCCGGCCTCCGGGACGGTGAGGGAATTCCTGTCTGCGGGTTCGAGCCCCAGCTGGTGGCCTTGTGCTCGCAGCCTGGGACTCGCGCGGGCAGAACGCGTTCACTGTGCCGGCCACATCACGGCTCTTCACAGACAAGGCAGCTTTTACACATGGACGGCAAGACCAGCCACAGCCAAGGGAACCTGAGCCGCTAAAGACTCAGAGGGTGGTGCGCATTTTTTAGCAACAAAGAATTTTTTAACTAAGGCGTGTACATCGTGTTTTGAAAACACCGCCATGGCACAGCACCAGACCACAGCGTAGCGTAACAGAACGGACGGGCCCTGGGAAACCAGGTGACTCGTGCGACTCGCGACGCCTGCTTACTGGTGGTCTGAAGCCGACCGGGCGGTACGTCCGAGGTCCGTCCCCAGTGCCTTAAGTTGGGCCAAGTTCAGATTTGTCTTAACAAATGCGGTTCTGTTACTTCCTGTGCCCTGTTCCCCGAGGGCGAAGCCCTGGCCTCTCGGAAAGCCCGCTGGCCGTGTCTGTCTCACCTGTTCACCAGGTGAGTCTCAGCTCCGAGCCTGGGCCTTCCTCTGCCCAAGGTCTGACCCTCGTTCTGCCACAGCACCATGCTTTCCAAGCTCACCGGGGCCCTCACCTGGACACTGTCCCCTCCCGGCCCCACACCACCACCGCCTCTGGCTGTCACTCTTCCTCCCCTGGAGTCCTGCTCCTGGACCCTCCGGCCCTCAGTCGCTGCTGCCCTCATCGTGGTCCCCGGCCCCAGACTGAGGGGGCAGTGGCCCGGCCGTGGACCTGGCGGGCTCAGCGCACAGCAAGGTACCTGCACACACACCCTGGGATCACCCTTAACACACACCCCTGAGAGGGGGAGACGGGGAGGCACCCCGCCACACCCGGGCCCTCGGAGGACCTACAAGTCAAGGTCAGAGGAGGAGGCCTGAGGACAGCCTGGGCTGAGATGCAGAGAAGCCCCCCAGGAGATGGGCTGCTACAGGGCCAGTGTCAGGCGTCACTGGGCCGACCGAGAGGGCGGCTGTGAGCGGGGCACGGGGTGGGCCTGACCCACAGGTCCAAGCGAGCTGGGCAGGATGGCCAGGCACACGGTGCCACCCTGTGCAGCTGTGAAGGGGAAGCGTCGCCAGCTACCCTGCCAGGGCCCATGGGTGCTGCACCCTGGGCCGGGGTCCCTGGATGGGGGAAAAGGGACTGCAGGACTGTGGGGGAGGGGAGGGGGAGCCGCCACCCGAGGAACAGCGGCCTGATGCCAAGAGCTCCTTGAGCACCTGGGTCACTCTGGCACCTGGCAGGTTTCAAAGGCCTCAGCTTCTCAGAACCAAGGGTCATAAGAGATGACGGTGGCCTTGCCGCTAGATCCACCCACCCCCAGTAAGCATGGAGGTGCCGGGAGCTGGGCTCGGAGAAAAGATGAAGTGAAGAGGTTTTAAATGTGCCGCATGAGAAAAGGATGACACCCCAAGTTCAGGGACTTGCACCCCATTTCCTAAACACTGCAGGTGTCAGGTAGAGCAGGTGCGATCTGAGGATGCCGTCGCCCCAGTGGACTGTGCGAGAGCTGGGAAGGGAAGGGCTCCACTGAGCGTCCCTACGGGGCAGCAAGGCAGCCCCGCTGAGCTGCAGAGCCTGGAAGGGGGACGCAGGAGTGGGGTCCAAGGCACCCGAACACTTAGACGTCGGTTCTTACGGACTTCAACTTCTCCCTGGAAATGTCAGTTGGGGAGGGGAGTTAGACTTCAGGCTGGGGCTCGGAGTGCCTTTCCATTGTCAAGGGCAAAGGCGTGTCTTCTCTATTCCTCCTTACCGGTGGCTGGGATGCACATGTGATGACAGGAGCTGGGCAGCCATCCTGGGCCACGAGACGGAAGACTGGTGTGGAGGATGGCGGAGGAGTACAATGCAAAGGCCTGGGTCCCCGGAGCGCCGAGGGGCCCCGGACCATCCGCCCAAATCTTCCACAACAGAAGCAAATTGTATCTTGTTTAAGCTGCTCTTTTGTTGGGTCTCTCAGTGAAAACAGCTGAATTTCTCTCATATAAAGAATTGGGGAGGGGACAGCATATGGGATGGAAATGATTTTGAAATGAAGCAGGGCAGCCTCCAATAGCATTTAACTATTTTGGGGGGATGGGTAAGAAGGTCCTGTATCCACTCCTCACAGGTAGCTCCTTGTTGGGAATGACTAATTAGATTAGACTCGACCGTAGGCACTGTCGCCCCTGGAGTCTCTGTGCCGTTACCAGGCTCCGCCCCCGCCCCCGCCCGACCCCAGGTATCGTCACCCTTCGTCCTAGGGCTGTGAGGTCCACGATGGCAGCCACGAGCCACACGCAGCTACTGAGCACTCGAAATGTCCAAATCGAGCTGTGCCGTCAGTGCGAAACACACACTGGATTTCAAAGACTTAGTAGACGGAGAAAAAGAATGCAAAATATTTTAGCGATATTAGTATCGATTGATAATTGAAACACTGAAATACTACATTAGCTATATTGGGCTAAATAAAATACGTTGCTAAAATTAATTCCACCTATTGCTGTTAGCATAGTTTACGGTGACTGCTAAAACCTCGAAGTGACCTGTGCGGTTCATGCTCTGTCCCCACTGGGCAGAGCTGTGCCAGAGTATGCTCGCCCCTCTGCCTCTGATGGGGGCTCCTGTTTACTCCACATCACCCCAGCTCTCCTCTGGTAGGAGTCATGATCCCCCCACCCGGAAACAGAGAAGCCGCCCTCACTGAGCCCCCGAGGGACCCCGGGCTCCCTAGCTCCACAGAAACACGGCTGTGTTCAGAATACTTCTTATAGAGGGAGTGGGCTGGCCCGGAGGGCAAAGGTCAGACATGAGAGCCCACCACTGTAGCCACACATGCCCAAACGCTTGGGTGATGACAAACTGGCCCAGCTGGCGCCCACCACGCCCTGTGCAGGCCTGTCACACTGTGGACAGCTCAGCCATTCCAGGCCAACTGACCATCTTCCTATGTCACGGGCCAGAAGCAGCTGTCATGGGAAAGGAAGTAAAATGACCCTGAACAAGTGACCGTGCTGGGAAGGATGGCCCAAAGCCACCAGGCACAGGGCTACGAGGGTTTGGGGACACCCCTCAAATATCCTGTCACCTGTGAATTAGCTGATAAATGCTTGTCCCTCCTCCTGGGACGATGCCAGTCTCTGTCCAGGTGCCAGATATGCGAAGGCAGCTGGCGACGCCCCATCCTCCCCTGATGCTGGCTTCCCTAGAGGAGAAACACACCAGCTCCTCCCAGCAAACTCCCTCCTCTCCCCCCAAACCCACTTTGGACCAGAGCCTTAAGAAACGGAGCAGCCCCAGGCCCGCTGTCCCACTTAAAGCCAGTCAGCGAGCTTCCCCGGGCACAGGCTATGCTGGGCCACAGGGATACGAATGTGGATCAGACACAGACCGCCCCCCACACACACAGCCCCAATCCCTCCTCAGTCTCCTCTTCTCTCACCCTCGTGGCCTCAAAACCCGGGCCCAACCTGGCACCCAGCTCCGGTTGCCTAGATTTGAACCTTGACCTCCTCGCTTGCTGTGTGCCCCCGGACAAGTGAGTCAACCTCTCTGAGCCTTTGTTTCCTCAGCTTCGGAAGGAGCTTGGCGTGGTACCCCACGGCGAGTGCTCTCACAAGTGAGGTGACTATGGGCTGGTTCATTCTGGGCTGGTCCCAGAATTCATAACGTTTTAAACTCTATTCTCTGAGCCCCCACGGGCTCAGCCCCCCACCCAGCCCCAGCACAGCCTGTTGCATGGTGGGTGGTGGTTGTTAACAAGCCAGCCCCCCTCAGCATGTGGGGTCCTCCAGGGCTAGGAAGGAAGCATCTTATGACTCTGCCTGGTCCCCTGCAGCCCTCAGAGTGACACCACGATAAACAGTGAAGGAAGGAAGGAATAAACGAGCAGAGGGATGAATGAACAGAAGCACAAAGAATGAATGAACAGAAGCACAAAGAAACAGGGTGAGGACTTGCTGCCCGCGGCGAAAGGTCGGGCTCGTACCTTTGGAGGTGTTTTGGGGGTGACTAGCCTTTTCGGGTTCTTCGCTCCTGTGGAATCTTCTGTAAACTCTTCTCCGGTGCTCTCTCAGTGTCAAAAGTTGGCCTTGGGGCTGTGTTCGGGCTGCTCTCGAGTCTCACTGGACAAAATTTGCAGCTCATCGTCGGCCACATCTTCTTCCAGCCTGGACTTCTTCTTAGGCCAGCACTTTCCAAAGCCGAATCTGAACACCCTTCGCCTCTGCCCCACGCAGCCGCCCGGCCCCGCAGAAGGCTGACGCTCAGCCAAACCCAGGCAACAATGCGAAGAAGCTGGACGGCTACCAGAGAAATATGCTCTCGCCGAAGATAAGGAAGTCAACGTTGCTTGGAATTCCCCAGATTTCACTGACCAGAACTTTCCCTCCAAGCAAAGATGGGAATGGCAGGTTGATTATTCAGTCTGTTCCCCTGACATCTCGGGCTGGCCCCATGATCGAGCAGAGGCCATGCAGTTAGGCAGGCCACGCGAAGCCTGCAGACGGTGGGCCACCGTCACCACCGCCACCACCGCCGCCACCGCCGTTCAGTGTGAGAATGAGCTCTTGGTCGGCGTGTTTAAACGTCTACCATTAAAGAAGAAATTACTCACAGCTGTGATTTCTTTCTATTTTCCTTTAATTATAAAATATACACAACGCAGAATTGACCATCGTGGCCGTTTTTACGTGCACAGTTCAGTGGCAGCAGGAACAGTCACTGTTGTCCAACTGTCACCACCGTCATCTCTAGAACTTTTTCCATCTTGCAAAACTAAAACTGTGTCCCCATCAAAGACGAGCTCCCTGCCCCTCCCCCGGCCCCGGGCGCCACCATTACACTGTCGGCCTCTCTGCCCCTGGCGACTGCAGGTACCACGTACAGAGTGTGTCCTTCTGTGACCTTACACAGCGTGACGCCCTCGACGTTCGTTTATGTTGCAGCCGGTGCCAGAGCGTCCTCCCTTGTTCAAGGCCGAGCAGTATTCCATTATGTGGATGGACCGCACCTCCTTTACCCGTCATCCGCTGATGGACCCCTGGGTTGCTGCCACCCTTCATTTAGCTGCTGTGACCAGTGCTGCCATGACCGTGTGGTGAGCGCACATCGGTTCGAGTCTCGCTTTCGACTCTTAGCTCTGGTCTCGTCCTCACGGGCGATGGCGTTGTCACCACTGTGGTTCCGAAAGCTCCACGAGCCTGTCACTTGTCCGCGTGGGACCCCATTTCACAGCAGGAGAGGCTGAAGGGGGAGGCTTCCCAGAGGCGTCCGCCGGTCGGTGGCCCCGGCAACACCGCCGAGCTCTTGAGTGGCGTCGGCTCCCGGATGCGCATCCGCGCTTTCCAGCTGTGGTTACTGACGCCGACACTTAGATCCGCCCTCGCCCAGCCTGCAACGCTCACGCACCGCCCAGGGCGCCCCGCGATGCACTCACGGTCTTCTACCTGGACCCCACGCGTGCCGTGAGCTTCCTGTCACTGCTGTAACCAAGGACCACAAACTTAGTGGCCTACACCACACGCGTTTATTACCCTGTGGCGTCAGAGGCCTGGCACGCTCGCCGGGCTGCGCTCCTGCTGGCTCTAGGGGACAGTCCCCTTCCTGCTTCCCTGCCATCAAGACGCGTCTGTACTCCTTGGCTCGCGGCCCCCGCCTCTGGCCTTCGGACCCAGAAACAGGCCTGGCGCCCGTCCACTCCGACCTGTACTCAGCCTCCCTCTTCCACTGGTGAGGACCCTGCGGTGGCATCTGGAACGCTAGAAAAGCCAGGCTTAGTTAGCTTCCCTCGTTAAGGTCGGCTGATCGCAACCTTAATTCCACCTGTGACCTTAGG